ACAGTACAAGTTAGCCTATCTAAGGCCCTGCTCTCTCTCCTGCCTCAGCAAGGGCCTGGCTGTGGTGTAAGATCCTCCATGGATTTGGCTGCTACCTCCTCCTAGTGTGTGTAGAGTGGAAGGGACTTAATTCCTATTATAAACCCCCGTGTCTCCCCTTTTCAGGTCCTTCCCAAGTCTCCAGTCCCAGCCAGCTACCTCAGAAACAAGATGTTCTCTTGTCTCCAGCCCACAGCCCTGGGGCAGAGGTAAGTAGGGCTGGGGACAGGGCGGTCCATGAGACCTTGAAGAGACATGGCCCCATCTTAGGACCCATGGTGTAAGCTCCACAAAGAGAGATGAGACAGCCAGCCCTATAGCCACCCCATTTTGTGAATTCGAAGAATTTCATCTCTTGTGCTAGGTAAGACTGTTGACAGGTACAGGCTTCAGGTTTTGCCTCACTCCTTGTGGATGAGCAAGTTTTTTTGGTTTTTTGTTTTTTGTTTTGTTTTTTTGTTTTGCAAGTTTATTTTTAAGTTGATGCAATGGCATTTATGCCTCTATGGGTTTATAACAGGTATGTCTTTTTTTTCCTTATGTGAAGGTAAAAATGTGTAACTATTTAAATGAAAAACATGCCTCTAGATCACCAGAGTCACTTCAGAGAATGAATATGAATGTGTCATGCTAATGTCTAAGGTTCTTAGTCTGGGAAGTACAACTTACTGGGCAGACCAAGAAGGAATCAAAGCTAGGCCTTGGTCTCGGGGGCTCCAGGCAACATGGCACAGTCCTGTAATTAACCTGAGATGTGAGAAGCCCTGGGGTGGGTATTATAAGGTCTGTGTGCATCTCCGTGGTTCCTTGTGGGACAGTGTGACTGCAGAGGGTCTGTGTGCATCTCCATGGTTCCTCAGAGGGACAGTGTGGCTGGAGAGGAGGACTGAGCTAAGTAATGACTTTAAATCTTCTCAGACATGAGCCCCATGTTATCCCTCGGGGACCCCAGAGCTCTTGTTAATGTGGGTTGTGATGAAAGCCCAACTCATTAGTACCCTTGGTGGACAAGGAGCCAAGGGCATCTCTCTGTGTGTGAGAGAGATGAGCTAATACTGAAAGCTCAGGCTATGCCAGCTAAGTGGAGAGGCTTTTAAATGTTAACAAGTGGAGTAGAAAATGAGGATGGACCTCCTGCAGCTCTGAGAATACTAGCCTAAAGGACAGACAGGATTTTACTTCAGTCAGTGAAGGCCCCTGAACGAAAGCTCCCTGAGGGAAGGCGCTGACTACACTGTTCTCTTCTCTCTGTGTAGGGGACCCAGGCCCCACTTGCCTCTGTTGCCACCAAGGCAAAGTCTCCTGAGGAGCCCCTCTTCCCTGCACCTCTGCTGCCCAGAGAAAAGCCCAAAGCTGAAGCCCCCACAGATCAGAAAACTGCACGCTCACCCATCCGCTCACCCATCCGATCACAGCCTATGGCCCTGCCAGAAGCCAGGACACCTACCTCACCTGCCAGCTTACAGCCAGAGTCTCTGGTGGCCCCTCCCACACCGCCCTCCACCCAGCTGCCCATCTGTTCCCAACCTCAGCCTTCCTCAGATGCTTCTATACCATCACCCACTGAGTCTCCCATACGCTTCCAGCCAGTTCCAGCCAAAACTTCCACACCCCTGACCCCACTCCCAGTGAAGAGCCAAGGAGACCCCAAAGACAGGCTGAGTGGCCCTCTGGCTGTGGAGGAGGCCCTGAAGCGGAGTGATCTGGTGGAGGAGTTCTGGATGAAGAGCGCTGAGATCCGCCGTAGCCTGGGCCTCACGCCTGTGGACCGGAACAAGGGGTCAGAGCCCAGCCTCCCCTCACCTGCCTTTAAGCCAATATCCCTAAAGTCCTACTCAGTTGACAAGTCCCCTCAGGAAGAGAGCCTCTGCCTTCTGAAACCTCCATCTGTTCCTAAAAGGTTGGGCCTGCCAAAGTCAGCTGGTGACCAGCCCCCCCTGCTTACCCCAAAGTCGCCCTCTGACAGGGAACTGAGGAGCAACCAGGAAGAGCGTAGGGACCTCTCCAGCAGCTCAGGCCTGGGCCTCCATGGCAGCTCCTCCAACATGAAGACCTTGGGCAGCCAGAGCTTCAACACCTCCGACTCCACCATGCTCACTCCACCTTCTAGCCCTCCCCCACCCCCACCTCCCAATGAGGAGCCTGCCACCCTGCGAAGGAAGCCCCATCAGACTTTGGAGCACAGGGAGGCTTCAGTTGTCCCACCTCCCCCTCCTACCACATTCATGCGGCCCCCACGGGAGCCCGCCCAGCCCCCCAGGGAGGAGGTTCGGAAGTCCTTCGTGGAGAGTGTGGATGAGATCCCCTTTGCTGACGATGTGGAGGACACGTACGATGACAAGACCGAGGACTCAAGTCTGCAGGAGAAGTTCTTCACACCCCCCTCCTGCTGGTCCCGCTCAGAGAAGCTCCTGGCCAAGGAGAATGGGCGGCTCCCTCCCCTGGATCGCAACGTGCAACCACAGAAAAGAGGGCTGCCTCTGGTCTCTGCAGAAGCCAAGGAGCTGGCTGAAGAGCGCATGCGAGCCCGGGAGAAGTCTGTGAAGAGCCAGGCACTTCGAGATGCCATGGCCAAACAGCTGAGCAGGATGCAGGCCATGGAGATGGCCTCCTCCAGGTCCCGCCCAGCGCCATCCCAGAGCAAGGAACTAGGTCCCGAGTCCACCAAGCGCACAGGCCTCCGAGGCTCCCAGGAGCCCACTCTGAAGCATGAAGCTACTAGCGAGGAGATCCTTTCCCCTCCATCAGACTCAGGAGGCCCTGATGGCTCTGTCACCTCATCTGAGGGCTCCAGTGGGAAGAGCAAAAAGAGGTCGTCCCTCTTCTCCCCCCGTAGGAACAAGAAAGAGAAGAAATCCAAAGGGGAAGGCCGAATCCCAGAGAAACCCAGCCTGGGCCTGCCAGAGGAAGTAGCTGCTAAGCCCAAGTCCCTGTGGAAGTCAGTGTTCTCTGGATACAAGAAGGACAAAAAGAAAAAGAGTGATGAGAAGTCCTGCTCCAGTACCCCGTCCAGTGGTGCCACAGTGGACTCGGGCCAGCACAGGGCATCTCCGATCGTGAGAACAGGTATGCACTGCTGAGGGATGCTCACAGAACAGGTGTGGGAAGTATCTCCCCAGTCATTCACAATAGATACACTGCCTTGTGCTGCTCCTGCAAGGGTTCTTAGGGAGGAGAACAAACCATTCCTGCTTCGGCCTGATCCACTGCATGAAATGTTAATGCCAACTTGAAACTAGATTGGGTAGAGTTGTGTCGGTACCTTTCCTCAAGTCACATGACCCCAAACACGGGCCTGATTTTGAGTGGAGCAGAGTCTTACCAAGGAGTCTTGAACAGGTGTCTAAAATGGCATCTGTTTGGTGTTGGCCCATCACCTTTGGAGGGGAATCTTTTAGAGACCCACCTGTGGCTGACTCCCTTGCAGCATGATTTCCTGGGGTGCTGACTGCTGTCTTGACTGGGCCTCTTTTCACCCTACAGAGCTGCAGCTCCGGCGCCAGCTGAGTTTCTCAGAGGACTCAGACCTGTCCAGTGATGACATCCTTGAAAGGTCTTCCCAGAAGTCTAAGCGAGAGGTGGGTGGACCCAGTCCCTCAAGAGCTTCAGAGAGCTGGTGACAAAGCATCCATTTAGTCTCTGGTAGAGAAGCACACCATGAAAGCTAAAGCTGGGGTGCAGAGCCAATGCCTGCTCCAGTATCCTAGCAGACACACATTGGAGTGCTGTGCCAGCCCACAGACAACAGCAAACACCACAGAGTGGTCTCCCAGGCCTTTGAAATACGCAACTGGGGATATTGCCTCAGTCTGAAGAAGCCAGGGTGCTCACTTGGTTATCAGTCTGACATTACACTGTAAGCATTTTGTCTGCTAGGGCCGGATAATGGGAGAAGAGCTGAGGTACTGCTTGGGGGTCATCCAAGTATAGACTGGGCACCAGGCATGAATGGGAGGTAGACCAGATGGCTCCCTCAGGAATAGGCCTAGCCAAGCTCACTACTTGGTGCACTTAAGTAGAGGACTTTCTCTGTTTTAAGAATTGACCCTGAAGCAGCACTAATTGAAAGCATCCACTGGGGCCTGGGCCCCTTCCAGTGACCACCCCATTGTGTACCTTTTTGACATGAGTTCTCAAGGCCTGGACTTAACATTGTCCCCTCTGTCAATAGCCTTGAGCTGTAGACCATCCAGGACAAGCTGATGTAGCCCTGCCCCCCCACATGTCACTGTTCATTGAGATGGTGTCTTCCTGTTACAGGTCCATCCTGTAGCCTGTCTCAGTTCCTCTTTTAGGAATTCAGCAGACTAGAAAAAAATCAGTTTGCTTTTATCTCGTTCTCTATTCATGCATTTTCATCGTCTCATTCTATATTATCTCGCTGGCCATGATGATATCTCTTTCTCTACTATCTAGTCACCAAGAAGCACAGATCTCTCTTCCTTCTCCATCTCCTACAGCCAGGCCTCATGTCTTGCTCCAGGAGTCTGAATATAGGACTCCTGTGCTGTGTGCTTTCCACAGGGGTTCAGTCCAATGTGTTGATGCTGGGGATGCCCTCTGAGGTCTTCCAAGCAATAACACTGGGACTGAACCAAAGATAGTGTGTGGATGTGCACATGAGTTTCAAAACTCATCCCAACACCGGGGCTTGGGGGGCAGGGGGGCAGGTACTGTATTAGGAGTCCTGAAGGAGCCTGGGCAGAAGAGAATGTGGCCCAAAGTCCCCTTTGCCTCCATGGTGAGTGTGCTCATGTTAAGACAGTTCATGTCACATTGGTCAAACCTTCCGTCTATGGTTGCCACTGTGGTCAGGTCACACTGCTTCTCCACAAGTTAATGAAACATCTTGCCACAGTGGGGAGTGTCAGATGCCCCCACTGACAATGCCAAATCCATCATCTTGATGTAGGCACCCAATGACCACAAGTACAAAGAGCCCAGGACTCATTTCCATGGTTACGTGAATGGTGACAGCCGCCACTTGGATTCCTAGAACTGTAAGACCTTGGATACCATATGTACCAGGTGCACTCCATAGACACAAGGTCATTCTCTGGTTGTCACACAGGGAATGCTGATGACAAGCCGGGCCTGGGCAGTGGCAAACATGGCTCTTAGGATGATGTTGCATCTCACTGAGGGAGGGCAGGACACAGTATCTCTTAAAGTATGGAACCTACTGGGTGTGGTGATTTCATGTAACCCTAACACTCAGGAGGCTGAGGCAGGATTCCACAAATTCAAGGTCAGCCTGGGCTACCTAGTGAGTTCTGGGACACCGAGGGATACAGAGAAAGATCCTGTCTAATAAGCAAAGGTGAGTGGAGGAACACAAACAGAACCTACAGTGGAGAAGAAAGCAGAGCAAAATAACCACAAAGCTGTAAAGGAAACTTTGGAACTGTTGATGACATTTGATGGTGAATGGCAAGTGTAATAATATATTTTTAAAAAATGCCATCCATCATCAAATTGATGTCAAGTTCCTAGCAGGTGGTACCATGGTAATTATTGCTGAAGCTTCCAGGGACTGGGTTTCTGATGTCTAAAAACAGGCTGTGTAAGTGCTACCATCTGGTAGTCGAGGTGAAGAGTGTTCTAGAATCATTGGCTTCTTCCTTCAGTGTTTCTGGTTTTAAAATTTTCACAATTGAAAATATCAGGATCAGTGGGACCAAGAGTGAAAATAGGCTTTTGCTTTCCCAGAAAAGGAAGCCTCCAACCCCAGTATAGTATAGGTGGAAGCCAGTCCTCTTCCTGTTTCACAGACCCAGGCCCTGAGTCAGCACTTGAGAAGCAAGGGCCTAGGTTTGATTTCCATAGTGCAAACACATAAAACCAAAACCTTCTTTTAACTTAAATGTCTATTGTAATTTTTCAGGGTTTGTGTATTTGTATTTGCATGTGTGCAAGCACATGTATGTAACATGCGTGTGAAAAGCTAGAGAACAACCTTGAGTGTCACTCCTCCAGTGCCTGTCTACCTTTTATGTGTGCATGTATGACAGAGCTCACCATTTAGACTAGACTGTCTGTCTGTCTGTACAGCAAATCCTGAGAAACAGAACCCACCTGCCTCCAGCTCCCTGGCTCTGAGATGACAAGCACATCCCACCAAACCAGGCTTTTTATGTAGGATTTATGGCTCAATCCCTAGGGACCCAAGGCTTTCATGCTTGTAAAACAAGTACATTCCTAACAGATTTTTCTTCCCAGTCCAATCCAGGTTTTCTATCCACCTAAAGTCCTGCGAACAAAAGATAACTCTTATTAGCCTCTTTCCTTTGCTTCCCTTTGACTCTTAAGTGCAGTCTGTCCAGCTATTCCTCCCTCACTGAGGCCCACCAGGGCCTGCCCAGCATTCTACCAGCCCCTTATCCTCCTTTGAACCCCCGCAGCAGCCAGCTAGCCATGCTCCCAGCCCCACTCTCCCAAATTTACCCAAGTGTGTCATGATTTCCATCCCTGTTACTGACACTGCCAAGTTGGTACCAGTCCCAGCAGTGGGTGAATTAATAAAGATGCTTGCTACATCTCCGTGTATTGGCAACAGCCACAGACAGATACCCATGTCAGCACCAGTCCTGAAGTGTGTCTGTGTAGGCCGCTGGGTACCCCATCTGTACTTTTCCCTTTCAAACCGCCCTGTTCTGCATGAGAACTTCACTCACAGTCTGCTTTGTGGGGGAGAGGATGCCTGTGTCACTCAGCTAAAAGCAGCAAATCCGTTCCCCAGACAGCATGTTTGTGGCATCCTCTGTGGGTCCTCCACTGTGCCACCCTCAGCATCCCTCTGTCCTGCACAACACCAAATTCCAATTGCCTTCATGCCTGGGTCCACTGGGCCCCTTCTTCATGCGACCCATGAGAAGACCACAAAAGCAAAGGAAACTGGCTAAAGCACAGTGCAGTTGTGATCAGTGTGTGAAGCGAAAAGGTTCCCATGGCTGCCTGAACATTGGTACTTTCCGAGTCACGGTGATTTGTGCCTCGTTGGTTCCCTTCGCTGAGTATAATTCTGAAATAGCAAGTTTGTCCAGTCCCAGGACAGATGAATATCACACTGTGAACCCATATGGCCCTGCTTGAGAACACTGTCCGGCTCGAAAAGCTGTCAAGAGAGTCTGTAAGGCTCAGTGCCCATTTCCTGCTTCCAGCTTCATTCTATGCCAAGTGCTCAATGGCAGGAATGTGAAGGAAGGAAAGTCAGCTATGAGTGAGTGAAGAGGGACTCAACAAGGGACAGACAAAGGATTCAGGGTGTGTCGTTTTGTGAATAGAAAAGTGAACCCCAGCTTTATTTGACCGTGGGGATCAATGAAACTCAAGCTGGTAGTGTCTGTACCCCCAGGTTCCTTCTTGTTCAGTCTTGTGTGACATTGTGAGACAGGATCATGTGGTTAAGTCTTGTGTTTGTTTTAAGCCTCTAACTGATTTTGTTCCATTTCTGTATTCTGTTTTCATTTTTTTAATCATCATCATTCCTGTTCTGTTTTGTTTTCCGTTGCCATCCCCTTAAAAGTCGATTTATGTACCACACGCCTTGGCATTCAGGAGAGCCTATTCATCAAAGGTAGTGTCTCATTCCCACTGGCTGGTCCTCATTGCATGCCTGTCTGTGATTAACCACCTGGACAGCCCTGCCGGGCCCTTGTAGCCACGTCCTCACTAACTGTCAAACGTGCATGCAGCTGTCACAGTCAAACCTTCTTTGGTTGTATCACAGAGAGAGGAGGAGACAGTCACTCTTCCCTTGGCTGGAGTGCATGTCATCATGGGTCCGGGCGGAGCTGCCCCTGTGGGTCTGGGTAGCCCAGCAAGGGGTGGTCATCACCTCCGCTCCAAACCATTAGGGCACTGGGATGCTGTGACAATCCTTAGAGACCACCTTCTACCTGTGCACCTGACCTACTGCTATCATTTGAGCTCCTTGAGGAGAAATGATAGATGTAGACCCAGGTTGAATGTAGACGCCTCCTTCATGGTCAAAAAGTCTCCGGTTTTTTGGAGGAAAAAAAGAGGGTCTCACAAAAGAGGACACCCTCCCCCCCCCCGACTCGTGCTGCTCCGCGGCCACCCAGCCGCTTCAGAGTGTGGTGGCCCACATGTACAGGTGTCTGGGGACATCCATCCATGCCTGTATGGGACTTGCCCAGTTGCCTCCTCCAAGCTCACAACCCCAGCTACCCTGCCAGATCATTTCTACCCTTGCTCTCCGTGACAGTGGTCGCCTGTGCACACCCAAGTAGTCACCGATACTGTTCCTTTTCCAGCCTGTGTTACTCTGGATTCACTGAGATTTAAAATGGAGGCATCCATGTCTTCTTTCCTTCAGATGTTAGCTACTAAAACCCTATGACCCCTGTCACCTTGAGAAAGTAATCCCAAACAAAGTGTGTGGGGGGGGGGGGAGCCCTCACTTTCCAAACCTCTTCTTTTTCCTGTATGCCTCAGAAATAGGAGGCTTAGGGAAACATTTTACTGTATTTTTGTTTTGTTTTTTAATCACAATGCAAAAAAAAAAAAAAAAAAAAAAAAAAAAAACCAAAAGCCAAAAAACATAGACATGCTAGGTGATAGTGGCACAGACCTATGGTCCCAACTCAGGAGGCAGAGACGGGCAGTTCCTTGTGAGTTCGAGGCCACCCTGGTCTACAGAGCGAGTTCCAGGACACCAGGGCTACACAGAGCAACCCTGTCTTGAAAAGAAACTTAAATAAAAACAAACAAAAATCCACAACACGTTTATGTGGCAATTACGACCTTAGTTCCAAAGGTGTGTGTCTGTCTGAGGTTAACTCTCCTAACACACATTCCCCATTAAGCCTCTTGTCCCTGCCACCGAGGTGAAGTGTCTCACATTGAGGTCTCTGGCCTGGCCTCAGCATAGATGTCTGCATCTGCCATGCCCAGCTGGCTGCCAGGCAGCAGCTCCCCACGTGAGGTACAAGTCCTCCTCATACCCTCGCCAGCTTGCCACCCAAACATCCTCCACTCGCATGCAGCTGGCTTAGGCGCTCTCTCTTGCCCTCTCTAGCCCAGAACCTACACAGAAGAGGAGCTGAGCGCCAAGCTGACACGGAGAGTGCAGAAGGCAGCTCGAAGACAGGCCAAGCAGGAGGAACTGAAGCGGCTGCACCGAGCCCAGGTACGCACTGGCAGCAGGATGCCACATGCAGGTGGAAGTGAAGCAGCAGGCATCCCGTGCCCCCAGAGGGCCTCCTCTACAGCAAGGAAGATGATGAAGCCAGGGCAGAAACAGAGAGGGGCATTCACGGCTTCCAAAACGACAACCTCAAAGTACTTTAGCTTCGTGCTTTGTGGCACTGTCTATAAAAAGGAAGATCTGTGCTTTGAGTTTCCTGGAAGCCTTGGTCTAGAGTAGATACAGGGTCAGCAAGTTCACTTGTCACCATATTGCCAGGGGTCAGTGCGTGGCCCTGACCTCTGCTCGGAATAGTCTGGGATTTTATAGGGAACGCTCAGAAGGACCTCTGGTTGTCAGTCTCCATCCTCAGGATTCACAGCCTAGACCAGTGGCCCTCATCCCTGGGGTCATTACCTCTTCATAGGGCTCACCTAAAACTATTTGCATTATGATTCATAACAGTAGCAAAAGTACAGTTTTGAAGTAGCAACAAAATGATTTTATGGTTGGGGTCACCACCACATGAGGAACTGTATTAAAGGGTCACAGCCTTAGGAAGGTTGAGAACCACTGTCCTAGACTTTTCTAACTCATCGATTCTAATCACTCCATCCAGTGTTTTAAGTCTCCTTACTATAAAGGTTTAATGAAGTCACTTTTAGATGCTTTTGAACTATTCCAGGGAAAGAGAACTGGGATCCAGCTGCATGCAGCTGGCACAGCACACTGACTATACTGCCCCTTCCAGTGTCTTGACAGTACTTATCTTTCTGCCTCCTGGAAGCTGGAGGTAAGAGATGTCTGGAAGCTTATACCCTGTTTCTCCGTAGATCATCCAGCGTCAACTAGAGCAAGTGGAGGAGAAGCAGAGGCAGCTGGAGGAGAGGGGCGTCGCGGTGGAGAAGGCTCTGCGAGGCGAAGCAGGTACTGTCTGGCCTCCTCTGTGAGGGGGCTTGTTCTCAGAGAGAGAGCCTGCCTTTCTTCCTAGGGTGAGCCAGTTGGGCACCACCTCTTCTGGAATTCAGCTCCTTCTCTTTCAGGGTTCTTTGAGTTCTTGGCATCATCAAGAGCCAGTGCTTACTTATGTTCAGGCAGCCCAGACACCCAGGCCTGCTCCCCAGCCCATTCCTCAGCTTGCTGTTGCCACGCAGAACAAAATCCCAGGCCCTGTCACGTGTCAGTGGCAAGCCCTGGGCTTCCTCTTCCTCTCCCTACTCCTTCTCTTCCCTACCGTTTTCTCTAAAAGGAAATATCAGGGAATGAGGGAGATTGTGTCCCACAAGGAACCATCACAGAACTGCACTGAACAGGCCTCAGCCTGCTTTCCCGAGTGCTCTTCCTGTCCTCGATTCCCTGGGCTCCCTCCAGCCCAAGCTACACAGCCACAGAGCCTGCATCCTCTCCCATGTGGGGCTTTCTGGCTGCCCTTGCACTGATTTCCCTGGCTGAGCCCAGGCTTGTGTCCATCAAAGGCCGGTCACTGGGAGCAGTGTCGGAGAGGCTTGGGCACTGTCTGTGTTCAGACAGTGGCACAGCACACTATCTGAACACAGTCAGTGTGCTGTGCCAGCTGCATGCAGCTGGATCCCGGAGCTTGTTCTCTTTCCCTGGAATAGTTCAAAGCTCTTGGGGCGTAGGCGTAGGCATAGGCATGGGAATCTATTACGAGGGCCATGTGGTTGGAGCCTGTCAGATTTGGCACAGGGGGTACAGAGAAGATGAGGTTTCTGAGCTGTCTCTGGGTCCAAGGCCAGCCCAGCTTCAGGCATGGAACGACTGACCTCTGCTTCCTTAAGATGCAGTCCCTGGATGGGGACCCGCTTGTCTCTGCAGGTGGCCCCTGGCCTATGGGTTCAGCATTCATGCCGTGAGGCTACAAAGAAGGAAGGTCAGGGCCTCTTGTTTCTTCTTTCCAGACACAGGAGAGCCAGCTGGGCACCTCCTGGTCAGGCAAGCCAAAAAGAACAGGGCTAGCCATCTGAACACTGGCCAGGGGTCTAGCCTTGAGGTGAGGGCCTGGTATCAAGGATCCAATTTTGCAACTGGAGTTCCCAGTAGAGGAGTCAGGGCAGGCACAGAAGCAAGCCTTCCTTCAGATGACCCTCAGGTAAAGACATGTGTCAGCTCGGTGATGACTCTCTGGTGAAAATGTGTCCTGAGAGAGAAGGATGAGGATGAGGATGTTTTGGGCTTGTGCTGCACCTGATGCTGGACCTGACGCTTGAAGCTTGTGCTACTAAAGGGAGTCCAGAAGTTTGAATCACTTTGTATCCAGCGAGAAGACTGGGAAGCACTGGTATGAGTAACACTGATCCCCACGCCAAGCTGTGAAGAAGGGATTCACCCACACAATTTCTTGGCTTCCCAATGAGCCTGTGCTCCCGTGCAGCCTGCAGGCCTCCCCCTCCCCACTTCCTCTGACTGATCTCAGCTCAGCCTGAGCACTGGCACCAGTTAGCCCTCCCTCGGGAGATCCCGGGCTACAGAGCTGTAAAGGCCTTCCCTTCCACTACTCTCTGCCCACAAAATGCCAGAAGGGAACGTGCAGCATGCTTCTCACCTCTCTCCAGATTACTTCAGCTAAGGGACAGCTACGTCCCACAACAGTAGCTGGCATTACCGTCGAGGTGTATGAGCTCATGTTCATAGAGTTTCCCAAAAGCGCTCTGTCTCTCCCCTCTCCCAAGGTTCAGAGGCTCAAGGAGACAGCCACTTCGGTTGATGGTTTCTGGAAAGTGCTTAAGGTTTCATGAAACTTTCTATACTTCACCACTTCTGTAAAAGGCATGTCACTCCAGTTGCTACCAGTGATTCAGAAAATGACACCATTGTGAATTGATGGAGAGGCCAGAAATGGCTTAGCATGTTAGATCACATACTGCTCTTACAAAAGACCAGAGTTCGGTTCCTAGCACATCAGGCAGCTCACAACAATCTGTAGCTCCAGCTGCAGGGGAGCTGTCTCCCTTTTCTGGACTACACACACACACTGAATTTCTCCTAACTAGTGGTTTTCAACTTGCTTTGGCAGGAAAGCCCATTGTACACAATTGCTAGTTGAGGCTTAAAATCCAAAAGAATTATTGTAAATGTTTTTTAAAAATTGAAAAATTGCCAGACGGTGGTGGTGCATGCCTTTAATCTCAGCCCTTGGGAGGCAGAGGCAGGCGGATCTCTAACTTCAAGGCCAGCCTGGTCTACAGAGTGAGTACCAGGACAGCCAGGACTGTTATATAGAAAAACCTTGTCTCGGAAAACCAAAAAAAGAAAGAAAGAAAAGAAGATTGAAAACCATGCACACACATACTGGAAAGTGCATGTCCCAGGGAGAGCTGCAGATGTTAAGAAGCCCCGGTTGTCTGTCCATCTGTCTGTCCGTCCGTCCGTCCGTCCATTCCTCCCGCCCCCAGCACAGTGTTGAGGACATCCCTGCAAGGACAGGTGGTTACTCTAAATGGGAGCCTTCCTTTTTAGCAGCTCTCCAGGAAGTCTCAAGGTGTCTGCAGATACGACAGATGCTCACAAACAGAGCAGCTGAATCACTGACAGCTATTCATATTCTTCATATTCTTTATGGAACAAACAAGAGAAGACAGCCCTGCAGTTAAGAGTTCTTGGTGGCCTTGCAGGGTTCCCAGCACCCATGACTGCTCACAACCCTCTGTAACTTCCATTCCAGGGGATCCAACACCCTCCACAGACACCAGGCATCCACATGGTTACAAGTATGTGCAGGCAGAACACCCATGCACATAAAATAAATCTTAAAAATATTATAAACAAGAAGCTCCCAAACATAAAGAGAAACAGTAAGTATATGCTGGCATGACTTGTTAACCTTCTGAAGGACCATATCAACAGTGTGCTCCAAAGTCAACATCTCCTAAGCCACACCCTTCTTAAGGATCCCTGACAGTGGCACATGATCTCTGTCCTTGCCTGCAAGACTTGAATTAACTTCTTAGTAATGTATTTATGGGGAGTTCAAAATTCTTGGACATGAAGCAAAAGAAACTTAGACCCGAGAGCCCCACAAAAGCAGGCTTGCTGGAGGTCTTCAGTGCGTCAAAAGTTGGCTTGTGAGGCCCTTGAGCATGGAGTGCAGTTAGTCGTCAAAAGTTATTGTGGACCAGATATCTGGGACACCCCCAGAACCTTTCTTGAAGAGCCCTAGGGTTCAACAGAAGTTTGGAAACCATGTTCTAGTCCACCTCCCGACTATAGGCAGATCTTTGCTCACCACAGGGATCAGAGGTGAGACTGTCTCTGACAGTGCGCATCCCCCTGCGATCCATTTGTGTTTCCAGATACAGTCTTTTCCTTTTCTTATACTTAACACTCCACGCCCAGGGCTGGTCTAGGATCAGTTCCCAGTGGCCTTGTCCCTTCCTGGCAGAGAGCGTCTTGGAGACTGGGTGTACACTGTAGCTGCTCCTTTCTCTGGTCTCTCATTCCATTCCATTTGGCCTTCTCATTTACCTGGCTAAGCAAGGAATACAACAGCTTCTAGCGGTGCTACTCAACTTCCTCCCTGAGCTATACCAAGCTGGCCAGAGCCACCCTGTCTCATGCGGTGGTTTCGAGCCTCCATTGCTGTCAAAGGGGTCAATCTTTGTTAGCCAAGATGCCAAAGAGACTGGTCTGGAGTTGCCATCAGGTAACTGTATTTGTCAAAGACTTCTAAATATACAGACTGCACGGATTAGCTCACAAGCCCTGGAGACTAGGGCAAGGCTGAAACTTGTGGGCTTCTTGTCCTGGAATCTGAAGGGAGCTTTTCTCTGTTTCTAGAACTCTGACTCAAGGGTAGAACCACTGAACGGCCCTCGAGCACAGGCTGGAAAGCCACTGGAGGGCACTCAGCTTTCAGACATATCCATCCTTTTAAAAGAGAAGTTTGTGGCTGCTTGGGTCAGCATCCAGATTGTGAGGTTAAAGAGAGGCAGACATTTTGGTGTGCTCCCAGCCTCTTCGTGATTCTGAGCCCTAAAATCTGCGAGCTGCCAGGTCCCCACTTTACACTGTAAGACAGGACGCTGCTGAATGGGATAGCCTGTGGCCAGCAGCCTCGGCATATAGGGTGGAAATTCTGCTTGTGTCCCAGCTCTCTCTGAAAATGGGGGACCTAAACCTCAGAAGACAAGGGACCTTCCTCTCAAGCCCATTCATTCAGTGAAAGAAAGCATGCTCGCCACTAATGGAGTCATTTGCAAGTTCCCTGGTTTCCAGTGCTTTCTTTTTTCTTCCCCGCCGCCCCCCCCCACTTTAATATTTACATCTTGAAAGCCTTAGCTTGGAGCCTTTAATATCCAGAAACTAAGTAAGAGAATAGCCCTGGTCTGTCCTTAAACTTTCTTAAATCTTAGATAACATTGCCTTCCAGCAGGGTTGGAGTTCTCAGCAAAGCCATATCTCATTCTTGCTGAGTCGGGGTTGTCAACAGGAAACACCCTGTTGTTGGCTGTCAACTCCATCCACGGTGGTGTTTGTTTCACACACATCCCTCCATACCACGAGCTGCAGAGATGGCCTGTGTGTGCATGCCATGCTTCATAGACATGCACGCTTTCTGGCTGCTCCACTGGGCTCTCTCATGATGTTTCTGCCTGTTTTGTATGTGTCAATGCGATTTGATAGCTTTTTGGGTCTCGGTGACAGCAGTGTCATCTTATCCAATAACTCTGTCTTCACCACTTCCTTGTTGTAGACTATTGGGGAGAGTCTTATTACAGTGGCCTCATCGACTTGCACCTGGGCGGTATGTATAGCATCATCGTCCACTGCTGGCACTAACCCCGAGACGCCCTCCCCTCTTGTTCTCTATCCCAGTCCCTGCTGCTCACAACAGTGAGGAGAAACCAAACCTGATAACCAAATGGCAAAGCACAAACCCTTTTCCAGGCTCAGTGTCAGAGCGCTTGCCTAGTGTGCACCAAAGCCCTGGGCTCCATCCCCGGCAGCAGCTGTCAGGTCCTTTCTTCCCACATGTGCCACAGAGGAAGACTTAAGATAGCGCCTGCCGCTTGAGGTTTTTCTAAATTGTATTTAAGACAAACAAAACCTACACCCGCCCTGCTCCATCCCGCCCTGCATCTGCATCCTGGTCCCTTTCATGTTCTGCTATTGGGCAGCAGTTCATTCCCACTCAAGTCTGGACTTTCATCCTGAATCTCAGCCCCTACCACTTGTAGGTTTCACGTGCAATCGGATGCTCACCACCAGCCGCACTTCCACTTCCTATGCAAGCGTGGGCCATGGCTTAACTCAGTGATAGAACACTTGCCTAACATGCCCCGGATTCCATCCCCAGCGCCTACAGATAAATATGTTTTAAAAACGTGAAATTATGGACTCAGCTTCGATCACTTTCATTTGGAATGTGTCACAATAGCCCCTAGAGCATGATAAAGGCTTCATGTGCCGTCTCTGCTCAGATTCACAGGACTTAGCGCTTAGTTAAGTCCACAGTGTCCCTTCCTCGCCGTGGTTTGGGACTCACTCTGCATGGATCCACTGACTGCTTAGGGCTTATTGGACATGCAGATCCTCTGACCCCAGCCCACACCTTCTGAGTCAGAAACTCCCCAGAGGAGGCCTGGGTGTCTACTGTTACAGACTTCTCAGCTGGTTCTGATCCCTGGAAAGCAGGGGAACCCTGGCCATGTGGGGCTGTGTTTTTGTTGTCCTGAACAAAGCTCAGTAGAGAAATGGCAGGTCTGGAGTCTTGCTGCTAGGCTCTGAGCTGGTTTCTCCTGGAAGGCTTGCCATGTTGCAAGTGTCCAGCCACTGGTCGTCTGGTGGAGCAGGGCACCAGCAGCTCTCCTTTTCTGGGGCAGGTGGTCTGATCTCTTCACCTGCCCTTGGGGTTTCCAAGCCTCCTGAAAACAGAAGTGCAGGGGAATAGAATGTGTCCCCACCCTTCCCCATGAGAGAGACACTTCCTGGCTCACTCATTTAAAAGCTGTAGTATGGAGCCAGCAAGATGGGTGTTTGCTTCCAAGCCTGACAACCTGGGTTCAATTCCCAAGACCCTTGGTGCAAAAGAACCAGCTCTCGAAAGTTTTCCTCTATGTCCATACACCTGCCATGACACACATGTCCTCCAGCAACACACAAAAGTAAAATAAATACATATCTCTTAAAAGTCAGGCTAGGTATAGTGGCACACACCTTTAATCCCAGCACTGGCCCATAGAAGGCAGGGGCAGGTGGATCTCTTAATGTTGAGGCCAGCCTGGTCTACATAGGAAATTTCAGGCCAGCCAGAGCTACATAGTAAAACCCTGTCTTGAAAAACTAAAGTCAGGCTATTAACACACACCTTTAATCTCAGCACTCAGGAGGCAGAGGCAGGTGGAGCTCTCTGAGTTAAAAGCCAGCCTTTTCTACATGGTGAGTTCCAGGCCAGACATAGCTACATAGTGAGACTCTGTGTGCAGTAGGTCATGCCTGCAATCTTAGCAATGGGGAGCCTAAGGCAGGAGGATTAACATGAATCTGAAATCAGTTTAAGCTAATATGAGACTGTCTCAAAAAAAGAAAGAAAATACAAAACAAAAATTATATAGAAATAAAAACCAGAGATAGGAAATGAGTCAGTCATCCCAGTCAGTGCCTATCGTGCAGGCATGAAGACTTGGGTTCCATTCCCCAGTACCCACATTTAAAAAAAAAAAAGAAGAAGCCAGGCATGGTGATATACACTTGTAATCCCAGTGCTGGGGAAGCAGAAACAAGAAGGCTGCTGTAGGTGCTCTCCAGCTAGTCTTGCTGAGCTCCAGGTTCAGTAAGAGACCTTGTCTCAAAAATCAGATGGTAGGTTGGCCACTGGCTAAAGGTACTTTCTGCTGAGCCTGATGAGCTAAGTCTCTGGAACCCACACGATAGAGAGAACCATCAGTGGCATGTTCATGCCACCCTCACACCATAAATTCATTAATTACTATAATAATGGGCTGCAGAGATGGTATGGTGGTTAAGAGCACTTGCTGTTCATCCAGAGGATCAGAGTTCAATTCCCAGCACCCATGTAAGGCGGCTCATAACCCCCTGTAGCTCCAACTGTAGGGGATCTGACAGTCTCTTCTGGCCCTCTGTGGACACCTGTACACACATGCACAGACAGGCACACATACACATATATAAAAGTAAATAAAACTTAAAACTTAAATGTAATAATAAAAACACTTAATAAAGTGGTGATTGAGGAACACAGCTCTGTGGACCTCTCACCTCCATACTCCCACATACACAACACATACAAGTCAATAAAATAAAAGCCAGGCCTAGGGGTGTGTACATGTGAGTAAAATGAGCCCAAAGCCAGGTAGAGCACTCGCCCAGCACGTGCCCACAAGGTGGGTACTGTCACTGGTCAGAAGGTAGAACCCTTGGCCCCTGTTTTGGTGACAAGAATTGGCCTCTGCTCTCTCCATCCCCAGTCTTATGCTTCCAGGGGTCCACTTGGCCACAGGCCCCTTTCGGCGTCCCCAGCTTCTGGAGTGCTGGGGGACTCCCGCCCATAGCCATTGATGCTGAAAAAGGGCTAATGCTTGCACCCCAGTTAACAGACCCCGTCTTGTCTAATATCCTGTCTCTCCTCCTTGCCTCCTCCTAACAGTTCCCTAAGTAATGTTCATGTCAGTTCTGAGGTCATCCCCATGTGTGAAAAGATAATTTACCTTCAGGACATTGTGGAAGGCGTGGTCCGGGCCTCTGTCTTGACACATAACCCACCCCTTCCGCTTGAGATAATGGCTTTTCAGCATAGACTGTCTTTGTGTATGTCTTAAATGTCGTCTTTAACCCACTGCACAGGTAAGGAAATGCAGTGGGCTGTTTCCTGTGGCCCCGGGTCCCAAACTCTAACCCTGGTTTTAGTATGCCAGGGGATTCTGGGATGAACGAAATGAAAAAAAAAAACACAAAAAAACAGTTTGTCTTTGCGGTTTTAAGACCCCTGCCCCTAGTCAGACACTATGTGGCGTCTGCTCCAAACTCCAGAGCCTCGCTGCTCTCCTTGTCACCTACTCTGCCCATGTGGGTTCTGCTCACATGTGGGCCCACACTGCTGCCCAATGAGGGAAGATACACTCCTCTCTAATGAGAGGCACTTGTGCACTCCAGTACAGAGCAAGGGTCACCAGACCCTCTCCAAAGAGGAGGGCATAGATGCCACAGTTGGCCCATTTCAGAGTCTGCTGGGCTTTTCCCTTGGGGCGCATATTTTATAATATTCATTATTTGAGGAGTGGTACCCTTTTGAAATCTGGATCTTGGAGGAAATAGAGCTGACTGCCCTGTACCCCTGCTTCCATAAAAAGACACAGAGAAATGCACGTGTGGACCACGGCTTCCATCGTACTGGAAACTGCTCTCAGCAGCACTTGGAACTCCGTTCCTCAACTGAAAAGGCAGACCCCTCAATTCCTGCCCTGTGCCTCAGTGGGGTCCCTCATAGCTCTTAGCCTGCCACATACAGGCCGGAGACCCACATGAAAAGTCTGCCAGGCACGCCCATTATCCCAGCGCTTAAAAGGCAGAGGTGGGACAATGTATGTCAACGCCCCGTCTGAACTAAAAAGAAACTATTTTGTTTGTTTTTTTAAGCCAATTTTGGGGCTGGGGCTATGGCCCAGAGGCCAGAGTCCAATGCACAATGCCAAATGAAAAAGAAAAGGTCCCTTGTAGCCAATGAGGTAAACTTTATTTCCTTGACTAGCCGAACCTTGCAGTTTGTCATTAAAGTGACAAATAGTGACCTTGGAGCCAAAGAGGAAGGGTCCCCACCGAGTCTTGTTGCACTAGAGCAAGGTAACTAGAAATCCAGAGACAGCCAAGTTTTCTGAAAACCCTAAATAAAAAATACACATGGTGACACATACCTTTAATCCCAACTCTCAGGAGGCAGAGGCAGGCAGATCTCTGAGTTCAAGGCCAGCCTGGTCTCCAGAATGAGTTCCAGGACAGCCAGGATTACACAGAGAAGCCCTGTTACAGAAAAACAAAACACATGTGTAACTTCTAATTTTACAGGCCCTTCCTTCTCAGTTTGTCTTGAGATAAATGAAAGGCTTAGAAATATGGCATGAAGGATTGGGATAGGGTCCCGTCCATGGTCACCAGTGAGTTAGAGAGAGGCCTGCTAAGGCCCGTTGGTCCCCTCCTAAGTGACTTCTCCCATTCGTTTCCTTTCATTGGGTGTTGATAGGGGTTTCTGCCTTTCTGGTCAAGCTGAACATTTAGCCTGGCTCGTTTTTATTTGATACTTTGGTGTGCACGTGCCTACATGCGTGCGCGTGTGTGTGCGTGTGCGTGCGTGAACTTGGGTGCATACTCACATCCACATGGGTCCCACGTCTCACGTGTGTTTATCTTACCCCACCAGTTCTCCAGTCTAGAGATTCATTCTGCACTGAGCTCTTTAGTACAAGGCGTCTCCAGGCCCTGTCACATGTACGTCATCTGTGCCTGAGTTAGCGGCCTCACGCAATCTGATGCTTACACACTAAAGCATGGTATCAGCCACCTGGGTCCCCAACCGGAGCCTCAGTGCTTGTAATTGCAGTGGTTGGGGATGAGCCCCAGGTTGCCATGCAAAGCCTTGCTCATGCATGGCAGTGGAAGACATTTGTTGACCAAATAGACTTGAGGTTGGGGAGTGAGAACAGTTGAGCCTAATGTCAGTCAACAAAGATTTTGCCAGTTCTATAAATGACAGAACGGAACATAAACAAGAACCCCATTCTTCATACCCAC